GGCTACTAGGTACGACATATATATATATATATATATATATATATATATATATATATATATATATATATATATATATATATATATATATATATATATATATATATATATATGTCGTACCTAATAGCCAGAACGCACTTCTCAGCCTACTATTCAAGGCCCGATTTGCCTAATAAGCCAAGTTTTCATGAATAAATGTTTTTTCGTCTACCTAACCTACCTAACCTAACCTAACCTAGCTTTTTTGGCTACCTAACCTAACCTTACCTATAAATATAGGTTAGGTTAGGTTAGGTAGGGTTGGTTAGGTTCGGTCATATATCTACGTTAATTTTAACTCCAATAAAAAAAATTGACCTCATACATAGAGAAAAGAGTTGCTTTATCATTTCATAAGAAAAAAATTATAGTAAATATATTAATCAGGAAAACTTGGCTTATTAGGCAAATCGGGCCTTGAATAGTAGGCTGAAAAGTGAGTTCTGGCTACTAGGTACGACATATATATATATATATATATATATATATATATATATATATATATATCTATATATATATATATATATATATATATATATATATATATATATATGTCGTACCTAGTAGCAAGAATGCACTTCTCGGCCTACTATGCAAGGCCCGATTTGCCTAATAAGGCAAGTTTTCCTGAATTCATTTATTTTCTCCATTTTTTTTCTTATGAAATGATAAAGCTACCCATTTCATTATGTATGAGGTCAATTTTTTTTTATTGGAGTAAAAATTAACGTAGATATATGACCGAACCTAACCAACCCTACCTAACCTAACCTAACCTATCTTTATAGGTTAGGTTAGGTTAGGTAGCCGAAAAAGTTAGGTTAGGTTAGGTTAGGTAGGTTAGGTAGTCGAAAAACAATTAATTCATGAAAACTTGGCTTATTAGTCAAATCGGGCCTTGCATAGTAGGCTGAGAAGTGCGTTCTGACTACTAGGTACGACATATATATATATATATATATATATATATATATATATATATATATATATATATATATATATATATATATATATATATATATATATATATATGTCGTACCTAGTAGCCAGAACTCACTTCTCAGCCTACTATGCATGGCCCGATTTGCCTAATAAGCCTAGTTTTCATGAATTAATGTTTTTTCGACAACCTAACCTACCTAACCTAACCTAACCTAACGTTTTCGGCTACCTAACCTAACCTAACCTATAAAGATGGGTTAGGTTAGGTTAGGTAGGGTTGGTTAGGTTTGGTCATATATCTACGTTAATTTAACTTCAATAAAAAAAAATTGACCTCATACATAATGAAATGGTAGCTTTATCATTTCATAAGAAAAAAAATAGAAAAAATATATTAATTCAGGAAAACTTGGCTTATTAGGCAAATCGGGCCTTGAATAGTAGGCCAAAAAGGGAGTTCTGGCTACTAGGTACGACATATATATATATATATATATATATATATATATATATATTGTTAAATATGACTGAAAACGTAAGATTAATAATTCTGACACAAATTTTCTCAATATTTCTTATGTTTCTTTTCACTGTTGATGGTAACTGAAAAATCAATTCTCCAAAATTAATTTTTATTTCTAGTCTGACACGATATATATATATATATATAAATATATATATATATATATATATATATATATATATATATATATATATATATATATATATATATATGTCGTACCTAATAGCCAGAACGCACTTCTCAGCCTACTATTCAAGGCCCGATTTGCCTAATAAGCCAAGTTTTCATGAATTAATGTTTTTCGTCTACCTAACCTACCTAACCTAACCTAACCTAGCTTTTTTTGGCTACCTAACCTAACCTTACCTATAAATATAGGTTAGGTTAGGTTAGGTAGGGTTGGTTAGGTTCGGTCATATATCTACGTTAATTTTAACTCCAATAAAAAAAATTGACCTCATACATAGAGAAAAGGGTTGCTTTATCATTTCATAAGAAAAAAATTATAGTAAATATATTAATTCAGGAAAACTTGGCTTATTAGGCAAATCGGGCCTTGAATAGTAGGCTGAGAAGTGAGTTCTGGCTATTAGGTACGACATATATATATATATATATATATATATATATATATATATATGTATGTCGTACCTAGTAGCCAGAACGCACTTCTCAGCCTACTATGCAAGGCCCGATTTGCCTAATAAGCCAAGTTTTCCTAAATTAATATATTTTTATCAAATTTTTTTCTTACGAAATGATAAAGCTACCCATTTCATTATGTATGAGGTCAATTTTTTTTTATTGGAGTTAAAATTAACGTTGATATATGACCGAACCTAACCAACCCTACCTAACCTAACCTAACCTATCTTTATAGGTTAGGTTAGGTTAGGTAGCCGAAAAAGCTAGGTTAGGTTAGGTTAGGTAGGTTAGGTACTCGAAAAATAATTAATTCATGAAAACTTGGCTTATTAGGCAAATCGGGCCTTGCATAGTAGGCAGAGAAGTGCGTTCTGGCTACTAGGTACGACATATATATATATATATATATATATATATATATATATATATATATATATATATATATATATATATATATTATATATATATATATATATATATGTCGTACTAGTAGCCAGAACTCACTTTTTGGCCTACTATTCAAGGCCCGATTTGCTTAATAAGCCAAGTTTCCTGAATTATTATATTTTTTCTAATTTTTTTCTTATGAAATGATAAAGCAACCCATTTCATTATGTATGAGGTCAATTTTTTTTATTGGAGTTAAATTAACGTAGATATATGACCGAACCTAACCAACCCTACCTAACCTAACCTAACCTATCTTTATAGGTTAGGTTTGGTTAGGTAGCCGAAAACGTTAGGTTAGGTTAGGTTAGGTAGGTTAGGTAGTCGAAAAACAATTAATTCATGAAAAACTTGGCTTATTAGGCAAATCGGGCCTTGCATAGTAGGCTGAGAAGTACGTTCTGGCTACTAGGTACGATACATATATATATATATATATATATATATATATATATATATATATATATATATATGTATATATATATATATATATATATATATATATATATATATATATATATATATATATATATATATATATTAAACGATATGACTAATTATCGAAAATAGATTCCAGAAGATATTTTTATCTTTACGATCCTTATAAAAAAGTCAAAATAAAATTATTTCATTTACCTTAAAATATAAAAGGCGTAACGGGGGGGGTGGAGAGAAAAAGGGGGGGGGGTACTAGGACGCTAGAGACAGGTTGTGAACGCGTAGTGAACCGGTCTTACGGCCGGGGCCATCGATAATCAATTGTGCAGTAAAGCTTGGGATAACTTATACACGTTCGTAGACCCACCCAGGCGGGAAGATGGGTAGGTCAGGGAGAGTGAGAAGGTGGAAGAGATGGCAAGGAAGGTGAGAGGGAATGGAAGATGAGGAGGAGGAGGAGGAGGGTAAGTAGGTATGAAGGAAGGGGGAGGGTTTAACGTATAAAGGAAAGACCTGGGGGTAGCGAAGAAATTAGGGTAAAGGATAACGTACTGGGAGTGTTAGAAGGTAAAACATGAACAAATAATAATGATAAAACAGAGAAAACGGAAAATGGGACAAATATTAAAATGTAAAATAATGGATAAATAATATCAAGAACATACAAGGAAATGAGACATAACTGAAGACACTGAGACACAGCGTAAAAAGAAACAAAGAGACAGACAAAAAAAAAGACATGAAGTCATAAACCACAGCTCCCAGTCTTGACGGGGTGGACTTGCCAGCTGAGAAATGCCAAAAGGAAGCCCTAAGAGGATGGGAACGAGACGGAGCATCACTGTGGGAGGAAGAGAGGCAGAGAGAGAGTCGAGAAGCAAAGATATGGACAATAGGGAGGTTTTGGCCAGAGGGCGTAAGGGTGTAGGTAATTGTAATGTGGAAGGGTGTCGATGTGGGAAGGGTGTCGGCGTGAGAAGGGTGTCGACGTGGGAAGGGTGTCGACGTGGGAAGGGTGTCGGCGTGGGAAGGGTGTCGGTATCAGGGATAGGGTGGGGAGGAGACATAGCTCTTTATACAGACAGTTCCAGTATGACAGAATTTCAGTATTAGTACCAATATATCCTACCTCTAATATATGTAACTCAGATCATTATATATGAACCAGTATATCGCCATACAATAAATAACATATTATTAGCTATATCTAATTCTAAAAGAACAAAGGAATAATGAAATAGAGAAGAAAATCACAAATGTTTTTTTAATAGAAGAATATTTTGGATAGAGAAATCCAACAGTTCGTAATGAACGAACGAGGGAGAAACAGAGATGCAGAGGAAGAGAAAGAGGGAAGGAAGGAACGAGACATGAAGGAAGCATAATGTTCTGAAGACATGGCAGCCCATGAGCGGCGTGGCGGGCCTGGCCACCAACCTTGTGGTGACCACTGGCCTGGTTCAGGTCAGCAGAGGGGGGAGGGGGGGGGACTGCTGAAAGGGATGCCACACGTGTGGACGAACTGACTCCCGGGGCGCCTCTTGGTATACCTCACTCACGGCCCCTTATTGATCCTGTACCTCTACTTCCACCACCACCACCACTACCACTACCACCACTACCTCCACCACCACCACTACCTCCACTACCACCACTACCTCCACCACCACCACTACCACCACCACCACCACTACCAAAACAGAGGGCATATTATCACACCATTCAAGATACTAAAAAGAATAGACAAGCTGTACATGGAAAGCTTCTTTAAATTGAGTGAAAATATGACAATAGGACATAAGTGGAAACTGGGTACGCAAATGGGTCGAAAAACTGCCAGGGGTAAATACTCGTATCCAGGACCGGTGGACAACAAGTGGAATGCACTGCAAGAAGACGCTGTGGAAGCCACCTCCATCCACAACTCTCAAGCCAGATTCGACAATTAGTTTTTGTTGAAATATCCCGCATGGACTCTGGTATGATGGCTAATGGTGTTCTCTACCACACACCTCCAGAGTTCCTAGTGGATTCAGTAGGGTCCTAAGTTGAGTAGCATTCAGCATGTCGTTGTTCAGGGGTGTGGCGCGCGGCGGGTGTGTTTACATGGTCGCTGGTTCAATACACACACATTGCTACATAGGATTTTCCTATAGATCACGTCCATGTGATTGCCCTGTGGATTACTATCATTGGTCTTATCTATATAAAAGCGGATCTTATCTATATAAAAGTGTTTGTCTAAGATTGGGTGCCAGATGCCTTAGGATAGTCTCACCAAACTTTGCGGTGTGACTGGTGGTGTATGGGGACGGTTTTATATGGTGCTGCCTCCATGCCCGCCTCATGAAGGTAGTGGACATGAAATGTTCGGGGCAGAGTTAGTGTCTTATGATTTGTTAATTAAGTTAGTCAGGTATATGGGAAATACCCTCCATTTGCACATTGCCTAGATAGGTTGGGCATGTGACAGCTTGGCATCCTTGGGGCTCCCAACACTTTAAACTGCGAAACCTTTTGGGCTCGACCTGGGCACCACCACCACCCGGTATCCTTTCAAGTGTAGTATAATTACTTTCACACTTGTATTATCATAACGCATTATTAGTAGTAATAGTTTTCATTGCTATAATATAAAAGTTGTTAATAATAGTTAGAGTAGAAATAATACTAATGTAGTTAATAATTTTAGTGATAATATAGAAACTAAGATTATTAAAACAAAAATGGAACGTATTATTTTCCTATTAAAAACGAAATGACCTGAAAATGGAAAACTTATCTTAATTTGAATCTAAAAAGGAAAGAGAGAAGCCGTCAATAGGAATATACCTCACCTCGTCTAACACCGACAATATTATACACGCTCCTATTCAAAAATATTATTCAATTTAAAATAGAAAAAAACGAAATGCTGAACATCGCTTTGAGAATATCCGCAAAATTTGAATATATATATTTTTTAGGGCCATGAGGTAAAAACGCTCGCCAGACATATTTTGTAATATTTTATGTAAAACAAACGACTATCAAGTTGGGATGAACGCCACCTGCGCTCTCTCCTTAATGCTTCACTGTTTTTACGAATTCGACCAAACCGTTAAAAACCGTTAATAGACCAAACCGTTAAAAACCGTTAATAGATCAAACCGTTAAAACCCGTTAAATAGACCAAACCGTTAAAAACCGTTAATAGATCAAACCGTTAAAAACCGTTAATAGACCAAACCGTTAAAAACCGTTAATAGACCAAACCGTTAAAAACCGTTAATAGATCAAACCGTTAAAAACCGTTAATAGACCAAACCGTTAAAAACCGTTAATAGACAAAACCGTTAAAAAACGTTAATAGACCAAACCGTTAGTAGACCAAACCGTTAAAAACCATTAATAAACCAAACCGTTAAAAACCGTTAATAGACCAAACCGTTAAAAAACGTTAATAGACCAAACCGTTAGTAGACCAAACCGTTAGTAGACCAAACCGTTAATAAACCAAACCGTTAAAAACCGTTAATAGACAAAACCGTTAAAAACCGTTAATAGACCAAACCGTTAAAAACCGTTAATAGACCAAACCGTTAAAAAACGTTAATAGACGAAACCGTTAGTAGACCAAACCGTTAATAGACCAAACCGTTAAAAACCGTTAATAGACCAAACCGTTAAAAACCGTTAATCGACCAAGCCGTTAAAAACCGTTAATAGACCAAACCGTTAAAAACCGTTAATAGACCAAACCGTTTAAACATTGAAGCACTGTAATAGTGACGTTTTCTGAGCGTCGGCCGCGACGGGTTAGGTGGGTTGGTCGGGTTCGCACCTGTCTGGTTAGACAAAACAGTTGTTTTACTTACGAAGATTGACAGAAGACGCTGAGGCGACTTAAGAACACACGGGGAGACAGTAGAAGTCTAGTGGTCTACGTCCTTGGCTCACAATCGATCAGCTCAGTACCAAAGCGGGCCAGAAACGGTTAAATACGTTTCCTTTCACCTGATACCCCTGTTAACCTAGCAGTAAAATATATACCCGGGAGTTAGGCAGCTGTTGTGGGTAGCATCCTGAGTAAAGTCAGTGATAGGCCTAGGGTGAGAACCCCGGTTAGCCTAAGTACAGGTGTCCTATATCCGACGACACGATATATTCAACAATTTCAACAGAACCAGCAACGCTGTGCATCATGGTGAAGATAAACAACAGGAAGTACGAGACCAGGTACTCCAAAGACACCATTATCCAAGGGAGTGCTGTTGGTAACCATTGCTGACGCAACAATAAATTATAACTAAATCAGCAATTACAACTGATGCGGTTGCTGTTGCAAAAGGGCAGTAGCAACCGCGTCAGTCGGACACTAGCATGAGCAGCAATTGCAAAAGTTTGCTACTGTTGCAAAGTTAACAGTAGCAGTAGCAGAGGCACTAGCATTAATAGCAACAGCAGATATCACTGAGGTATTAACAACAGAACCGATCAGCGAAACGGTAACATCAGTGGATGCTACAACAGAGGACGAACAGCAGCAAGGACAGCACCCACAAAAGAGGAGACGAACTCAACACAGCACCCACAAAAGAAGAGACGAACTCAACACAGCACCCACAAAAGAAGAGACGAACTCAACACAGCACCCACAAAAGAAGAGACGAACTCAACACAGCACCCACAAAAGAAGAGACGAACTCAACACAGCACCCACAAAAGAGGAGACGAACTCAACACAGCACCCACAAAAGAGGAGACGGACTCAACACAGCACCCACAAAAGAGGAGACGAACTCAACACAGCACCCACAAAAGAGGAGACGAACTCAACACAGCACCCACAAAAGAAGAGACGAACTCAACACAGCACCCACAAAAGAAGAGACGAACTCAACACAGCACCCACAAAAGAAGAGACGAACTCAACACAGCACCCACAAAAGAAGAGACGAACTCAACACAGCACCCACAAAAGAAGAGACGAACTCAACACAGCACCCACAAAAGAGGAGACGGACTCAACAAAGCACCCACAAAAGAGGAGACGAACTAAAACAGCACCCACAAAAGAGGAGACGAACTAAAACAGCACCCACAAAAGAGGAGACGAACTAAAACAGCACCCACAAAAGAGGAGACGAACTAAAACAGCACCCACAATCTCACATAAACAATTCAGCGACATCAAACCAGAGTAGAATAAATAGCAACAAAATCAAATACATCATTATCATCAATATCAGAGCAACAGTATGAGCAACAACAGCAGGAACATCAGCAACATCACTAACAGGGACAACAGAAGCAAACACAATGACACAAACACTATCCACATTAGCAATACCTGAGAAAGATACTATCGCAGAAGTTTTAGCAGTTGCATCAGTAAAGGCTTTAATAAAGATATAAGTAGTAGACCCAGCCAATAGCAACAGGCTGGAGCAAAGCGAGGCCCGGGGGAAATCTTGACATTATTAACAGGGAGCAATCAGCGGGAAGCTGGGCTGGATCTTAGTAGTGGAAGATGGGCACTCCCAGGAGAGGCTGGGATATGGGCCCCCCTTCCCCCCCCCCTTCCCCTGGAGATGCTTAGGGGAAATGGGCATCCCCCCTTAGGAGATACTAAAGGGGGACATAGCCAATTACCATTAGCTACTTTAGGGATATGAGCTCTCTACAGGAGATACTATGGGAGTTGGGTACACCCCATGATATATTGGGAATATAGGCAATCCTCCCCTGGAAATACCGGAATACTAGGGTTGAAATTGGGCATTTCCCAAGGGGAAATGATTGAACCTAGGCACTCCCAAGAAGCTAATGATTAAAAATAGGCATTCTCCAGGAGGTAATGAAGGAAAATAGGTACTCCCTACGAGGTAGTGGGGAGAGAGAGTTACCCACCGAGAACATGACGGTGTACTGCTGATGTTTGCCTGTCTCTTAATTGGTGTTTGTCTGGGATAGGGAGACAGAAAGAGGATTATATGGTACAAATTTCCAGGTTGGGTAAGGTGGAGGGATGGGGAGGTAGATTAGAAGGATAGGGAGTGTAAGGGGAAGGTTAGCCTTACCCTTCCTTATCTTAGAAGGTATGGATGAAAAATGGTTGGGTAATACTGTTGAATACTGTCTTCTTCTGCGCTCTCTTCTCTCTCCTCCCTCCCTCTCTCCCTCTCCTTCATTTCTACTTTCCCCTCTTTTCACCTCTCTCTCCACCTTCTTCATCACCTCCCGTTCTCTTTTTCTCCTCCATCTCCACTTCTATCCTCGTTCTATCCTCGACTTCTTGTCATTTTTTCATTTGCAATTTTGTCCAGGGAATTGGCTTATTTTGTCAGTCCCTTTTTTTCCTTTTACACCTGTTTTGTATATCTTTTCTCGTCAACCCCCCCCCCCCCTTTCTGTCCCCCTCTCTCTTTCTCATCCACGTGTTTATCCTTTCTCTCTCTCCCCTCAAGTTTCTTCCTTGCCTATTCTTCTTCTTCTATTTTGC